TATTTTTTATTTTTTTTTAAAGACTTTATTTATTTGACAGAGACCGCGAGAGCAGGAACACAAGCAGGGGGAGTGGGAGAGGGAGAAGCAGGCTCCCCGCGGAGCAGGGAGCCCGATGCGGGGCTTGATCCCAGGACCCTGTGATCATGACCTGAGCTGAAGGCAGACGCTTAACGACTGAGCCACCCAGGCGCCCCATTTTTTTTTTTTTTTAAGATTTATTTATTTATGAGAGAGGGGGAGAGAACGTGTGGTGGGGAGAGGGAGAGGGAGCGGAAGAGAGAATCCAAGCAGATTCTTTGCTGAGCGTGGAACCCATCGTGGGGCTCAGTCTCCATGACTCTGAGATCATGACCTGAGCCAAAACCAAGAGTCAGGTGCTCAATGGACTGTGCCACTTAAGGGCCCCAAAACGTTTATTCTTTTTTTTTTTTTTGAGAGAGCATGCATGGGTGGGCATGGGGGGCAGGGAGGGACGGAGTGAGAGGGAGAGAGAGAGGGAGAGAGAGAATCTTAGGCAGTCTGTATTCCCAGTGCGGAGCCTGACTCAGGGCTTGATCTCACAACCCTGAGATCATGACCTGAGCCAATACCAAGAGTTGGATGCTTAACCAGCTGAGCCCCCAGGTACCCACAGTGACTGTTTTCTTACTCTTTACTCACCCAAAGCCAAAAGGGGATTTACTGTTTTTTTAATGGATTAAAATGACTCCATTTAGGAGTCTTTTAATGTTTTCACTAAGTTTGCTGTTGGTGTTCTGTTCTTATGACAGAACATGTCTGGGTTAATGGTTAAATCATGTATTAACCATGCAAAACCAAGTCATTTTAAAAGAATAGATACGTATTTAAGAATCTTGGCCAAAAAAAAAAAAAAAATCTTGGCAAACATACAAGGCTAATTTGGTTTGCATTAAGGAAAAAAACAGTTCTGGAAACAACCTAACTGTCCGTTGACAGATGAACAGATAAAGAAGTCGTGGTATGTACATTTCAGGGGTTCCTATTCAGCCTTAAAAAAAAAAAAGATACTAGGAAGGGAAAAATGAAGGGGGGCAATTTGGACGGGGAGATGAACCACGAGAGACTATGGACTCTGAGAAACAAACTGACGGTTTTAGAGGTGAGGGGTTTGGGGACGATGGGTTAGCCCGGTGATGGGAGGGCACGTATTGAATGGAGCACTGGATGTTATACGCAAACAATGAATCATGAAACGCTACATCAACTAATGATGTAATGAATGGTGACTAACATAACCTTAAAAAAAAAAGATAATATGGTAAATAAAGAAAACAAAAAGATGGGCAACATAGTTGAACCCGGAGGACATTGTGCTAAGTGAGATAACCTAGTCACAGAAAGACAAATCACTGCATGAATTCTACTTATAGGAGCTATCTCATGTCAGATCCACAGAATCAAAGGGTGGAATGGTAGTTTGCCAGGGGTGCGGGTGGGGAAATGGGGGGGTAACCAATCATTGGGCATAAGATTTCAGTTATGATTAACAGGCTGTAGAGATCTACCGCATACCTATACGTTTACGTGTTGGCACTTAAGCGTACCGTGATAAAATACATTTAAAAAAAAAAACTTGAAAAAAAAGAAGAGAGGAATCTCTGACAGGACCAAAGTTGACTTCAGCTCTTCTTTCTTTTCTGCACTCCTAGGGCCTGGGTTCCAATAAATAATTGCTACCTCATGTCTAAAGAAATTCCTTTTTCTGTGAAAAAGACAAAAAGCATCTTCAACAGTGCAATGCAGGAGATGGAAGTGTACGTGGAGAACATCCGCAGGAAGTTTGGGGTTTTTAATTATTCTCCCTTCAGGACACCCTACACGCCTAACAGCCAGTACCAAATGCTGCTTGACCCCAGCAACCCCAGTGCTGGTGCTGCCAAGATAGACAAGCAGGAGAAGGTCAAGCTCAACTTTGACATGACGGCGTCCCCCAAGATCCTGATGAGCAAGCCCATGCTGAGTGGGGGCGCAGGCCGCAGGATCTCCTTGTCTGATATGCCCCGCTCCCCCATGAGTACAAACTCTTCTGTGCACACGGGTTCCGACGTGGAGCAGGATGCTGAGAAGAAGGCCACCTCGAGCCACTTCAGTGCCAGTGAGGAGTCCATGGATTTCCTGGACAAGAGCACAGGTCAGCCTGGGGTGGGAGATGGGGAGGAGGCCCCTGGGACACAGGGCTTCCATTGGGGCCACACCTGTCGGGGTCCAGCGGACCAGCGCCCCTACATGCAAGGGAGCTCTATGGGGTTTTGCTCCAGTGGAGCATATTTAAAATTTTAAATGGATAACCCAGTGGGATTCTTGCTGTTAGGAATCAAGAAGGGAGAAAAGTGGTCCCCAAAGGCCAGATGGAGGTCATTCCTAGCAGTGGGCAGAGGTGGCCAGTAATCCCTTCAGAGTTCAGGTCACATTGGCTCTTGGATTATCACAGCAAAACTTCCCATAACAGTTTGTTTCTCAAGAATATTATTTTAGGGGGGTGCCTGGGTGGCTTGGTTGTTAAGGGTCTGCCTTCAGCTCAGGTCATGATCCCAGGGTCCTGGGGTTGAGCCCCGCATTGGGCTCCCTGCTCTG